GCAGATTTACCTAAGGGTAAAATTAAGAAGGATTGGGAAAGGAGGTGGAATAAAAGAAGACTCACAGGGAGAAAGTGGGATAACTCATATCATACTGAAGGAATGGCAATCATTAAAGTAAAATGAAATATATGATCTGTTCCATGTAAAACTGATGATCTGCTCTGTAAACCTTCACGCAATTGACCACAAAAAGTTTAAAATATAAAAGAAGTATTTCAAATGCAAAGGAGGGGTTTTTTACTTTATTTCAAAATATTAACTTTTTTTTTGAAAAATGAAACTAGTAGTCTAAAATGATTATGAAGATAGCACAGGCCCAGATGTTTCATTATGTTCGCATATACATAATGTCACCATGAGTTGGAGCTGACCTAGCAGAAGCTAACAATAACTAAATGGTTATGGAATCAATTCACCAATTTATAGAAGATTAGGGGTTATCAGGTCTGACAGCTTCATCTATAGGCAAGACGGCTCACTCCCGGGCACTTACCTGTCAGCTTGACTGTCTTACTGGGCCAAAGCTTTATTAGTGGACAGTCTCAGTTGAGCATTCTGACACTGACACTTTCAAGCACTAATTCTCCTTAGTTGTAAAACTTTTAACTTTGAAGTTATAATCTGTCAAACAGGCTTAATACATTTAATACAAATCTAATATGCTATTTTGGCAAAAAATATCTTTGCTTAAAAGTTTTTTTTACATTTTTTAAATTTTATTATTATTTCATCTTGGAAACTTTTAATTTGGTTTTAGAAAGGAGTCATTTCATGGCTATTTATGGAAATTTATAAGAAATTTCTCTTCACCTGTATCACACTCTGACTAAAAATTAATATCCAGGAGTATGCTGTGACAGAAATTTATACAGTCAAGAGACACTAATGTGGGGAAGGGAAACCAAACACTTTTGAATCAAGAAAAGATATCTTGTGTTTCTCAAGCCATCTGTACTGAAGGACGAGTTTTTTAAAATTATTTTTTTATTTCATCTCCATCAAAGGACAATACTTTTATAAAATGCAATAAAAATGAATTACTAGAATAATAAAATGGGAAAAAAATACAAAGACAGATTTTAAGCTTTTTTTTTTTTTTTTTGCTATTAAAACAGAAGGCATGAAATTACTCTACCATTTTGCTATAAAAGTGCCTAAACACTTAGTCTATTACAGACAGACAAGACAACAGTTCACAGACCATGCGGATGTGCAGACCATGCTGTAAATAGCACAGCTTCAAGGCGTTTGTGTCTTTTCTTGGTAAACAAACAGGAGTGAGGATCACATTTTTCTCATTAACATTCAGTTCTAGAACTAGCGGTCTTGGATTATATTCCATGGCAGACTATACTCCTATGTAGAAAGGTAAGTCAAAAGGCATTACTACAAAATCATAGAAACCTGTGTTAGACAAAAATATCAAAATCTGAAGCTGTTGTTTCTTGACTTAGCCTCCATCCAGGTCTCTATACTTCTGAAGGCAGTGTTTCCATGTCTCTAACCTTTCTCTGAAAAATTCTGCACTCTTGATTTACTCTACATCCAAATAGCAGTTTTGACATCCTCGAGGGATTCAAATTGATTTCATTTTCAATGTTCTTTAAGCTTGGGGAACCAAAAGATGTCTGAAGGAGCATCAACACGGTTATAGGCGGATAGGGTAAGGTTTCCCAATGAAATTCTCATAGGCCAACCCTGGCCACCCTCAAATAGTGAGCAGGAACACTGTCGTCATGTAAAAAAATTCCTTGGTGCAACTTTCCTGACCTTTTCTCTCACTAATGTAATGTTCAGTTTTCTAAAAACATCCTCTTATTAAGTTCCCATGATTGTCCTGCATCCTTTGAGAAAGTCTGTCAAGATTGCCTCTTGGGAATCCCAAAAGACAGTTACCAAAAAACCTTCTTAACTGACCTCGCTGCTTCAAATTTAAGTGGCCCCACTGATCCCCTTGGAAGCCGCTGTTTTGATTACATCTTTTTTCCCCAGGCACCCTAATGAGATTAAGACAAATGTGTTGTTGTTGTTGTTAAGTGCTGTTGACTCAGTTCCGACACATAGTGAACCTGTGTAGAGTTTCCAGGGAGCAGCTGGTGGGTTAGAACCACTGACCTTGCAGTTCAAACTGATCATACAGTCCAGCGCATTATCCTGCAGTGCCACAAATTTGTATGCAAATCATAGAAACAAGTTTTGTTTAGAATCAACCTGTGCTTATATGAACTGGAACTCTGGTAGCAATACTTTTTGACTTTTCAGATAAGATGCAGAAATGGTAGATAGTGGGGAGAAACTGTCATGGAATGCCACATTAGGAAGAAATTGGAGATAGCATTTGCAGCCACTTTTGTTTCCATTTTTCATGGTTTTTCCTTTTTTATAAAAGGCCACCTCAACTTTGTAATGTGAAATATAAACATATCATGTGGCACAAGGAAAAGATAGGAAGCATACAACTCAAAAACTATTACCCTTAACCTACAATTTGATGAACTTTACCTATACTTATGGATGTAGTAGTTCAAAATACCAACAGAGAGG